AATTAGGCAAAAAATACCATAGGATAGTTCCAACCTCTGATCTTTCTTCATCATCCCATATCTTGTCGATATCTTAGAAGATGTTCTGCTCAGCCTGTTACGTTTAAAAGTTAAGACAATCAGGTTTCACTCAGTCTGTACTTTTACTTCCAAGTATCGGTTTTTGTAAGGATTTTGTTTGATTAATTGGAGGACTTCATCATGAGCTGACATCAGTTATAGAACTGTTGGAAAACAATCTGAGAGTACTAGACAGCTGTTTCGTGGGTCCCAGTGGCTTAATGGTCTACGAGTCAGCTCACCAGCCTTGTACCAAAGGGTCCTGGCCTGGAGCCTTGGTGGTGGGTGCGTTGAAGAGTCTAAAACAAGATTGTCGAAACAGCTGACAGTCCAGTACTTCCTCTAGGTTTTTCAGTGGTTCTCCGACTAACGTTAGCTCATGATGAAATCTTCTGACCAATTTGCTGACTCTTGCATCCTATATATTGTTCTTTAATTCTTCCTCTTATTCTTTCCTGGACTACTCAGAAAGGACTATGTCATATTTCAAATGATTTTAAAAGTTTTTATTAAGGCAAGTAGTGTGCCACTACTGCAGCTCTTTACTATAAAAGTTGATGGACACCTGCAGTCACATGAGAGGTGATCTGAACTGATATTGTCTGACTTCCAACACTCTGCATATTCACAGCTGTCCTCGTCTTGCATCTCATCTGGTAGGAATAGAAGTCAGTTTTTGAAGATTATATGCTGGCACTATCAAGTATGAAAAATTAACGACACCATATGTAGCCCGGCGCTTTATATGTGATGAAGATAGTGTTAGACAGTGAAACAAATTACGACTCAAAGGGTAATTAGCATAGAAAATGGCATTGTTTATTCTCCCATATATACAATTTCATAGTGACATTGTCCCCATTATGTGATAAGTTTATATTATTGATTCTAATATTATTATTATTATTATTATCATTTTACATTTTCAAGTGTTGGTTTTTAAGGATTTGATTGGTTACAGGATTTTATCATGAGCTGACATTGTTTAGAGAACCATTGGAAAACCTGGGGATACTGGACAGCCAGTCCTTTTATCCGCCTAGGTTGGGACTCTTCGGCAGTACACATCCACCATCAGGCTTTAAATCCAGGACCTTCTGGTTACAAGGCGAGCTCGTAAACCGTTAAGCCACTAGAACCTGATCCAATTGCCCTTGAATTCTAACTTCTGCCAATTCACGACAAAGCGTGACCCCTAACCAATGTCTCCGGCGAGTATTTGCCCTCACATCCGACAGGCTACACCCTACTGGTCACGAATTCTCACTAGAACTCAAGATGACTACCTACCTGAATAGGACAAGTTGCTAGTGAGCCTCTTATCGATATTTTACATTTGTATATTTCGACCTTATTGGTGTTTCTGCTAAGGAATTCACGAGCGAAGAGGAATATAACCAAAATAGAATCTCTTTTTTTAGATGTCCTTCTTAGAAGAAAACCACATGGTAGTATGAAGTGAATTTCACCTATGAAATGCTTATGGACAGGACATTATACACATTTTCATGCCTTCGTCCTTCTCCAGTACAAAAAAAATTAAGTAAGGGCACTCAGCCACAGAGTTCGATCTATATGCTCAGAAGAAGCAATTGAAGATGAATAAAGCATTGTATATGATACCTTGGTTGAAAATAGCTATCCTGACAAATTTATTCAGAAACACATTATAAAGAAAGGCGAAAAGGACTGGTGACTATCCGCAAACAAGAAGCCTTCAAACATACGACTGCGATTCAAGGATGATACACCTAGCAAAATAATTACGAAGGAACTAAGACAATCACTTTAAAGAACTTTCAGTGCTGGCAGATCACATACTTTATTCACTGCACGACTGATGATGATTTCTCGACTGAAAGATGAAGCACCTATACTAGCCAATTCCATTTGTATCTACCGATTCAACTGCGCTTGTGATGGAGCGTGTTATATCCCCCATTGCTCTAGGAACAAGATTTTTCGTGCTTGCTCGGGAACATCTACCACTGTGGCTAAATAAAGGTGCAGTAAACATCAGCATTAACATTTCGATATTGGACCACCTGTTCCAAAATGGCTACAAAGCTAGCATTGAAGAATCCTTTGCTATCATCTATTGAGTACTAAGTAAATTACCAAAAGGCATCCAGGTACCCTTAACTCCATATAGCAGAGTCTATCACGATTTCCCTTAAACAACCAGTGCTCTGTGTGCAAAAGAAGCAAGTCCAGCCAGCCACTACTACTGCCCTGGCTGGCCTTCTGTAGAGACCTTAAATCCATGAATTTATATTATTATTATCTTCCCTAATTTTTCTAACATTCAGTCTATCATTATCTCGGTGTCATTGAACTGTAATTCATTGATATTATTATTGATTCGATGTTATTTGAACAACATTAATGCTGTTTATAACACTGATTCATTCACCATTGTGTATACATATAACTGTAGGTCCTGAAGATGAAGACCAAGTTATCAAAAAGAGTATTCTTTGTTTATTAACCATTCTTTTGAAAACATTTTAATAGACATTTTTAATCAATTTCCGCTAACGCCAAAAGTTGCTGTTATCAACTTGAGTTAAGTGTATCCTGTAATCTGTTTTTTCCGTTGTTATTGTTGTTTTTGTTGAGTAAAATTAGATGCAATACTGTACAAAGTGCTGAAAATTCCACACTGTGTCATAAGTACTGTTTCAGAGGGAAGCGAATTCCTATCACTTCTATTATTATTATTATTATTATTATTATTATTACTATCCTCTTTTCTAAACCGCGCATGCTTGCAACGTCAGTTTGCAGTTAAGTGCCTAATCATCGTTGCACAGCCGTGGTAAGATATACTGATCACTCACCACGTCTGATATACTGATACCCACCGCCTTTCATGGAGAGGGACATGAAACCAAGGCCAAAAAGAGAAGAATACACTCCAGTGCAAAAGGAATTATTTTATTCGAATATGGAATTCAGGGGAGACCTAGCAGCAGATATCCTTAAAGGTAGTATTTCTATCTGAATTGAATTTTTGATTTTCCCGTCGATTGATTGGACCGAAGTGTTCGGTCTCAGGTTGACATGTCGGCTTCTTGTGCAGATGCTTCGACGATGTCTGGGGATTTGATTTGTATACAATTGGTGGATGGTGGCTAGCAGTGGAATCCAGGATGCGCCTTTCGTCCTAATTGGGACTCGTCAGCTGGATGTACCTGCATTTCTCAGTGAGTGATGATGTTCCCACCGAGGCTCTCATGGCCCAAGTGGTCTAGTGGATAACGCTTTGGCGTTTGAAACTATGGGCACTGGGTTCGAGCTTCGGTGGGAACATCATCACTCACTGAGAAATGCAGGTACATCCAGCTGACGAGTCCCAATTAGGACGAAAGGCGCATCCTGGATTCCACTGCTAGCCACCATCCACCAATAGTATTTCTATCTCCTTGAAGAAGAATTTTCCGGCAGCAACTCTAAGAGTGATATATTCTCTAGCCGCCCACTACTTCGGAGCAACGTAAGGACGGACTTCCACATATGACAACAACAATGTGCATATATCAGTTCACCTGCTCTTGCAGAGCTAGGTACATAGGTCGTTCTATACGGGTCTTATCAAAACGTGTTAGAGAACATCATACAGCATGGCTGCAAAGAGGAGGCACTGGCTCAATCAGAAGCGTAATAACTGGACCCCTCCTTAATACCTGCCATAGAATCTCAACTGACTCATCATTTAGAGTCATTTACAAAGTAAACAAAATTTATCTACCAAAGACAGTCAGTGTGTTTCCGACTTCTTTGTACTGCGGAAGCTCTCGCTATATGCATCGAAAAGCTAGAGCTGTGTGTTCAAAAGAAACTAGTCCAGCTTTTACAACTACCATGCACCTAGTTCGATATGTTCCCATATCCTTCAGTTATTTTGTTTAGTTATCTGTGTGTTCGTAATTTCCTCTCTTTGCCTTCATTCAATTCATCCCATTTCTGTTTTCAGCTATAAAATCAGTTATATTAAGTTTGTTGCCATGCTTCTCCTGATCACACTTGTAATCCGTTGTGAATAACTATTTTACAATTATATTCTAATCCTGAGTAGTTTATTTTGTTTCTATGCCTCTTGTCATCTATATTCACACACACCTCCTCCTCACTTACATTTCCAGTTGAAAATTTTGATTTCAGTTTGTTTCCATGCTCATTTTGTTTGTTCACACCTGTAAGTCGTTCTATCGCTGTGTAATTATTGTTTCTAAGCCTCTCCTCTTAATTCACATCAAGTTGAATATAATTAATGTCCCCTTTTATTATTATTTATTATTATTATTTTCCCAGTTATCAGATATTAATTTTGCATACGTTGTAACTGTTTTCTAATCCTATGTGTTCTTGTCTCTAAGCCCCTTGTAATCTATGTTCGTACCTTCAAACTTTCATATCAAGTTGAAAATTATTATCACCTTCGTTACTATGTGGAATTAAGCAAATAATAAATGTATCCATGTAAACTAATCTATATAAATGCGATTGTACAGCTGCTTTTGAGAATGAAATCGCCGAAAAGATAGTTATCTGTGTTGCTGAACTTCTTGTCCTTTTTAATCTAATATACTGATCACCTCTGTATGGCGGCCATACTTATCAACACTTCTTCAACAGTTAGTGATACTTCGTTGCCCTAAGATATTCCCACTTACTTTTTTTCCCTTCACGTTCACCAGTGGAACATAAGGCTTCACGCTAGTGGCTTGAAGTTTCTGTGGTAGTGTTCATTTTACAGGATGAGGTTGCTAGCCTCATGCCCAACCTTTCCTCTTTACCAGCATTATTTCCGGTTTAGCGAGGTAAAGGTAGCCCATGACCGGGGATCGAACCCTTGACCATGTGCATGATTGGCGAGCGTCCTAATCGCTATGCCACTAGCCATTTGAAAATTATATCAAATCAAAACACATTCAGTTAATTACAGGTATGTTTTATTACTTATCCAACTTTCTCTCTGAATAATGAGGTTACATAAAGTGGAACTTATTCACACACTGAAAAGAAAGAAAAACGAAAATAGGTAGATAGACAGATAGATAGGTAGATAGGTACATTGAGCTTGCTTTGAAATGTGCATGTGTTTAGACCTAATGCGTTACTGTATTTACATCTGAACGGCAGTTCTCTGTGAGCAACATCTGTTCAGCTTGCTTTTGTGCATTTACAAATAATGGACTAGGTGGCGTTCCATTAGTTAGGCTAAGTGGATCTGTTGCTGTTGTCGCGGTCGCGATCGATGTCACCGTTACCAGTGATGAAACAGTTGGATTTACTGCTCTGGATAATGTACCAGCTTGAGCAGCGACTGCCGCTGCGGCAGCTGCCATAACAGCCGCTGTCGCCGTACTTTGTCCTGTAGTCTGTCTCATCTGTTGAAACGCGAATATTTCATTGACTGTCTCTGGTTTCGAGTTGTCTACCGGTGATGGTGACGGCGACGGTGAATCTCGTCGATGAGATGTATCCGGTGTAGGCTTACCAATCAGTAAGGCATTAAAATCAGTCACAGTTGTCTGTTTAAATCGTGGAACACTTCCAAAATTACGATTACGCTTCACTGTCGACGTTGCCGATGGTTGTTCATACTGTTGTTCTAGCAGACGTTGATGATGTTGACAGAGTTGGGGGAAAGCATCTTTCATCATATTTCGACATGTAGGCAGATGCGTCTGATTGAAATCAATCTCTGGTGTCAGAGAAGTGTCTGACAGAGATGCAAAATTGCCTATAAGTTGTGTATCTCTAAGCGGGGTTGAATTATGATGACCTATTGATATATCATGTCCACCTGAATAGAGATTATGCAGTGTGTTAGCTATCATATTACTCGAGGCGTCTATATTATTCCCACTAACAGGTAACAGAAATCCACTGGAATTCATTTCGTTGTGTTGCTTTGAATCGTTGAATGGTGTTGAATTCGACACAGAGCTCATTGCTGGTACAATAAATCCTGAAGCAGGAAGACATGGCATAACAAGTGGTTGTATATTCTCTATAGTATTTGTTGTTCGATTATGCGAAAATGAATAGGGATTCACAGGGAAACAACTGAATAATCGAATCGGGGAGGCCATCGACTTATTCTGTAGTCGTAAAGTATCTTTATTTTCGATAACTTTCATTTCTCTATCATCAGTAAAGTCTAGCGGATCTCCGGGTAGTTGATCATCATCATTATTATTATTATTATTTGAGCAAGATCGCATATTGACTAATGATTCACAGGTGGGTGTTTCCTCTTTGCCAGCGTACTCATGTATACTGTCCTCTTTCAAATAATTTTCAACTAAACAAATCATTAGTAGTGGGTCAGCCAACAGATGGAGCATAATCACTCGAGAAACTAAAATTAGCCTTAATCTCTCTTCTGGATAGACAGAAATTAACATGTTATACAAGATTGGTGTACATAGGCTGATAATTTCAATAAGTAATATCGTTAAAATGACTAGCATTATTTTACTGGATATTTTCAACTGATGTCTACCAGTAGAGCGTTTATAACGAGAAATAAATACAAGCATAATAAAGGATAAAATGATTAAAGTTTGTAGAATTAAAGGTAGAATAATCAAGAGAAATGATGGAATCCAAACATAGGGAATTTTTACCACTTTTGATTGGGATACAGGTGGATACATTGTATTGTATTGTATTGACTCACGAGGTGATCTTACTGAACAGGTGAACAATGAATCAAGTCCATCAAAGAGAATGTTAACAGATGACTTAACACTGTCCACCAATATCTGAGTTGTTGCATTTATCGCTGACTCAGGTACCTCAGAGTTATGATTACTTGGATAGAAAGAGAAGGCGATAAGTAGGGCTGTACCAGCCGCCAGAGCCCATGGTAGTGAATGCATCAAAGCGATATAAGCGAAGCCTTGATGATGATGATGATGATGCCTATGACTAGGCGGATGACGTTGATGATGACCACCCTCAGGGAATGCCATAGTTTTCTTACTGTAGCCCGGTATAATATGCTTAAACAAATAAAGCTTATGTGATTGAATATCTTTCAATCGTGTTATCTTGAGTACAAATTTGAAAATAGTTTTTATATACAGAACAGTTAATGAACTAACTGTAAAAGCCACGAGCAGATAAAGCCGTGCACACAGAATAGCATCGGACGCTAATGAACTAGTAATAAGGCATATAAATTCACTTGTCGTTGAAATATGGTATAATTCTTGTGTTTTGTTCAATAGTGTACTTCGACTGACCAATGCAATACAGATTGCTGTGAGTTGTAGTAATGATAACAAAGCGCCAAGTATGCCAAGATGTATTCCGAGCGTATGACATACATAAACATTAAGATTGTATTTGGTGAGTGAATCTCGTAGGATTCTTAGCTTATAATCGGATGAAATATGCGTTGTGTGAGGGTTTGAATATGGGAAGTGGTCATTTATGCTGGACGTTTTATTCAACATTGACATTTTACTTTGTTTATTTGCATATGTATCAGGGGGATGAATAGAAGAATGAAGATTATTCATACTCGATTCACTCAATGTCTCATCTAAACATCGTCTTTGTAATTTTTTCCGCTTCCCCTTTTTCTTCTTCGTCTTTTTATTCTTGCTATTCCTGTTACGCAATAGTTTGCTGCGTTTCTTAGGCTTAATGCTTGGTGAAAATAGTATATCAGAGTTAGTTTTTGAATCCAACGAACCATCTCTATTCTCTTCACTTGTATCATCAGTAATCACACCATCGCTAGCAACCATTTGCCAACTACCATCATTCATTGAACTCACATCTAAGTGTTCATGGGCTTTACAAAATACTGGTTCATGAGGATGCTGATGCTGGTGGTGATGAGGATGAGGATGGTGATGATGAAATGCCCATGATGTCTTGGCAAAATTGTTAGGAACATGAAGATGTTGTTGATTAATCATCACTACTTTATCGGTTTTTTGTAAACTCACATGCTTGATATGTCTTCCATTATTATGGTATATTTGTGGCTGGAATTCTGATGATTGATTTGTGTTACTATACCAAAAATGTGACAGTCTACGTGGTTTCGACTTGATTGGATCATTTGCACAGGGGTAATCACCTGCCTCAGTCGGATTATATTTACACTTGAAATCTGCTATATGGTTTGACGCAAAATGAGTATACTTATCGCCTTTACACTTACATGATGGCTGTTCACATCTACAAACATTTTGACTACCTTCTTCACTGCTATAACTCACAATATCTGAGTATTTCTCTCGCCGGCATCTCCATTTCTTATGATGACTTAATCGCCAGGAGAGAAATACAATAAGGATTGTATTCAACACTAGAGAGATAGAACTAATAATCAGTGTCAGCAGGATGACATTCCAGTCGAGAGAGTGGAGTATATCTGAACGAAAACCATTTGGATTGATTGAGTTCAGCAGTGAGGAACCATTGGTTATAGTTGTCCGTGTACTCGTGTACTCAGCTTTTATGAATTCATTATCTTTTGACAGAAATGGTGGTATATACAGACTGACATTCTCTCTGTTCAGAAAGGTTCTACTCAGACCAGTGAGTTTATTTGTATCCTGTAATTCAATATGTGCAGTTCGATGTGACTTGTTGAATGGTGGGGTTGAATAATTCAAGTTGACTTTTGATAGCTGTTTAGGTTTATCAAGTCGTAAAGGTTTACGACCTTCTGGTGGACCTGATGGGATACGATAACGTGTACCATTCGGGCCGACAAGAAAGCCTAGCTCGTCGATGAAGTATTTTCCTGAGGCAAGCAAGGCTGGTAAATCGAATTTTTGGTTTTTATTCTGATTGAAGTATTGAGCATCATCATTCGTCTGATCCGTTGCCTTTTTGTTCATGGTTGACTGTTCGACTTTCTAGATATTTATCAGCAAAAAATAACGTAAAAAAGGTTGTTAGACATTTTTACATGTATAAAACACAAAATAATCGAGCAATGAATATTCTTTTCGATCAATCCCTCTTCTGGCTCTACAATTATATATATGCATATATATATAGAAATGCATAAACTGAAACTCACACTGAAAAAAAATGGATATCTACAGAGCTTCCTAAAAAAAGTATATGTCAATACCTACAGACAGGGTAAAGAGGTGGATACCGTAGACAAGAAACTTTTGTATCTCTTAAGTCAAGTTACAAAGGGGAAATTGCAGCTGACATTCTAAAATGTCGACTCAACAGAGCATAGATAGATAGAACATTTCCTGCAGCTAAACTGGTACTAAACTTCTCAACTAAACCAGTACTCACACAGCAGGTAAAGGATAAATTACCAAAGATGGCCTCATCAATGTGCATCTATGAATTCAACTGCTCATATGGAGTCAGTTACATTGGCCGTACTCAGAGAGCTTTTTCGATGCGCGCGCGTCAACATGTACCTGTACGGTTGAGTAAAGGAGTAGCCGAATGCATAAATAGTGCAGTTTTAGCCCACTTGGTAGATACTGGACACCCGATAAAACTTGACCAAGCGTTCTCAGTTATTTACCCGGGTTCCTAGTAATTTGTCTAAAGGAGCTCGACTACGTCTTCTATCAGTAGCTGAAGCAGTTGCAATTAATACCAGAAGACCATCTCTTTGCACACAGAAGAAGTGAAGTATGTTCAACCTCTATGTTTACCTTCGCCTACAATAAAGCCAACAAATCCTCCATTAACACTATAAATTCCGTTCACAATTTTCTTTTCTTTTCCTTCTTCTATTCCTCTGTTTCATTGACAAACGCTCATTTTCGCCTTTTATGATTTCATGACCTTTCTTATCATTTTATTACCTTAAGGTTTAAGTAGTACTTTTCTAACTTGCTATCGTATTTACAAAATCCCGTTCATTCTACTTCATTATATTCATTAATATTATTTGACAATCATTCACCAATAGCATATTTAATTTTAATTTTACACCATATCATCGTTATTATTTTACAATCATTCTTATTGTTGTTATTTTCAACCTTGAACTTAAGTCTAGACCGCCCCATTCGTTGGTTTATTCTCATATTGTCTCACAAACCCTGATTACGCTCCCCCTTGAAACCTGTATTTTCTGTTGATTATATTTATATATACACACATCATTAAATTAAATTATTTCATCTCATTTCGCCCCATGTTCTCATTGACCATGCATATTAAAAAAACTATATGACTATTGTTTCATCCCATCTTATACTTGTTCCACAATACACTTTCTGATATGATTCTAATTCGCCTTTACTAGCTATTGTATGCTTACATTAATGGATTTATAATTGTACAGCCTGAAGAAGAATTTATTGAAAACAATGACAGTTAACTCCAAATATTTTGTTCTGAATATATATATATGTTTATATACATAGAATATTCTAGATTAGTAGTCAATAATAATATTGGTGTTTTTTAAATAATATCGATTGGTTAAGTAAGATCACGAGGGAATTACAGTTCATTAAAGATGCTTAAATTATAATAATAATAACAATAATAAAGATATATTAGCGAATAGAATATCAACTAAAATTAGGAAAATTCCATAAAAATTCAGGATCATTCAAACCTAGATGGCCAAGGTAAGGAAAGTGTCTGAACTAACTTCTTTTGGACGCACAAATTAGGCTTCCTAATATGGATCCCAACAGCCAGCCACATGAATATTTAGTAGTCGAACTGTTAAGGCGAAATTAAGATTTCTTGGTATGCGGTAAATGACTATGAAAGCTGCCTGGTTAATGTCAATCTTGTATTCTGTTGTATCCACAAGATAAGATAGAATAGCGCTGCGAATGGATTTTGTTTGTCCTCTGCTTAACCATTTTTCAGGGTGATGTTCGGAAATTCGACGAGAAACAAGCTTAATTGTATGGCCTATGTAACTGACTCCACATGAGCAGTTAACTTGGAAGTTACACATGGAAGAGGCGAAATTAGGTAGTTTGTCTTTTACTCCCGGACGCAAAAGAGGTGTGGTTTTAAAGATACAACGTAATTCAGCAGCAGGGAATAATCTTCGCTTTACCGCATTTCTAATGCTCTTTGTTAGTATCTCGCTGATGTTGTCCCCAAAGAATTGCATCTGTAAGAATAAGGCTTTTTTGGAACTGTTGATAACTTGGGCTGCTTTGGTTTTAGATTCATATTCTTATCAATAAACTTTTCTGGATAGCCATTTTCACTTAGCAACAGTTTAATATGATTCAGTTCTTCATCAAGACATTCGTCCGAGCGAATTGCTCTTGCTCTGTGAACCAGGCACTTTATCAAATTGCGTTTATATTTCAAGGGCACAAAGATGAGAAAATGTGTGTACTGGCCCGTTGATGTAGGTTTTCTATATACACTTCTTCTTATTGTGCCATCCTCTTTTCTGGTCATAAGGACGTCTAGAAGTGAAATACTGGAGTCTTTTTATTTCTCAATAGTAAAATTTGTTGCAAGATAAACCCCAGTAAATTTATTCAGGATGTTCTTTGCTTCCTTGTCATTTTTCATAATCAAAAATGTATCGTCCACGTACCAACAATAAAATTCGAGTTCATTATTAACATCCTTTAGAGGCCCATTTTTTAGTTTCGCAAGGAAAATGTCGGCTAGAATGGGTCCTAGTGGTGATCCCATCGCCACACCCTTGATTTGTCTATATAGTTCCTTTTTAAATAAAAAGTGGACATTTATTGTATCTTTCAAGAGAAGCTCCTTTATAAAAGATGTTTCAGATATGATAGAGAAGATTTGTAGCTCAGGTGGAACTCCAACATATAATTTATCCAAAGAATTATACAGAAAACTAAAACACCTAACGGAATCTTGCGATCACTCCATCAACTCTGCTATCCAATTCCTAGAGAAAATCAGAGGCATCCAAATAGATGAACAAGAAATAATGGTATCATTCGACGTGACAGCATTATATACATCCATCGGACAAAACCTAGCAAAAGAAACCATGGAGCAATTACTTAGCAACGACGAACAACTGCCACAACAATCAAAAATGCAACACACAAGCTGGATGGAATGCATAAATCTATGCCTAACAACATACTTCCAATTCAACGGCCAAATATATGAACAAGTCAAAGGAACACCCATGGGATCGCCAATATCAGGTTTGATTGCAGAAGCAGTGATGCAAAGACTCGAAAACATAATTCTACCAAAGATCAAACCCAAGATTTGGATACGCTACGTCGACGACACATTTGTAATAATCAAAAGAAACGAATTAGACAAAACTCACAACTTAATAAACAACGTCTTCAACGACATCAAATTCACAAGAGAAGAGGAATCCGAGAACAAAATACCATTTTTGGACGTCTTAGTCAGGCGAACAACTACAGGAGAATTAGAAACTCAAGTTTATAGGAAATCAACTCACACAGACCAAATACTGAATTACAACAGCAACAACCCAATAACACACAAAAGGAATTGCATACAAACACTATTCAAGAGAGCAAGGACTCACTGCAGCACTCCCACCTTAAGAAAAATTGAAGAAAAGTATCTCATGGACGTCTTCCAAAAGAATGGATATCCACGGAATTTCATCAAGAGACATATACCCCCAAGCCAACCTACCAAAGCAAAAGCCACCAAGGAAAGCACAAAGAAAATCGCCTTACCATATATAAAGATATCTCAGAAATCACTACAAGACTCTTCAAACCTTTAGGAATTGACGTCGTACACAAACCAACAAAGTCGCTGCACTCAATTCTATGTCAACCAAAAGACTCAACAGCGAAAGAAGATAAAACCAACATCATCTACAAAATAAACTGTAACAACTGCGAAAAACACTACATTGGCCAAAGTGGACGTCCCCTTCGTCTTCGTATCCACGAACATAAGCTAGCCGTCAAAAGACATGATATCCACTCCCTCATTTCACTACACACAGACAACCACGGACATCAATTCGACTGGGACAACGTTCAAATATTAGACAAAGGAAATAACAAGAATGCTAGAGAATTTTTAGAAGCTTGGCATTCCAGTGAATCATCAATCAATAGACACATCGAGATAGACAAAATTTATCAACCAATAAGAAAGAAACTTCATACACAAAGGGTCAAAGTTCAAGTCAAAGAAACAACCGGTTCCAATACAAGTAACCTAGAAGGTGTGAAAACACACACAAACAACCAATCACGTCCAAGGTCACCAGGAGAGATGATTAATAAACTCGTGGAGAAATCTAAAAGCTCACTTCAAATTGAAGTATGCGCTGAAGATGTCACCCAGTAAGGTGATGAAAGCTTCGCAAACTAACCATCCAGCTCAGAGAACAAAACCACATCAAAAAAGATGTTTCGTCGTCTTATGAGTTTTTCGCACACTGAAACCACTGTTTCCGTAAGTGGTACATTGGTGAATAAGGAAGATACGTCAAATGATATCATGAATTTCTTGTCAACATTTAAATATTTTATCCTTTCAATAAATCCAAAAGTATCCTTTAGAATATGTTTCACCAACTAGGTATGAAGAGGCTGTAAAAGTTCGACCAACCATTTGGCTACAGGATCGTGCGGTGAATCTAACATATCTAATACTGGTCGCAGTGGTAGACCATTTTTGTGCACTTTTAGCCGAGCCATATAGTCTTGGTGTGAACGCTCCAGTGAGTGTAAGTGATGTGTACTGACTCTGTGAGATGGAACCTTGCTGTTTCAGTCTTTTCAATGGTGCAGAGCGGGAAGAAGAATTTGTCGAAACGAATATTCTTTGCTCGATTATTTTGTGTTTTATCAACATGAAAAAGTTTGTTAGACATTTTTACAGTGAATAATCAATATGAAATTGTATCACACTGATGAAAAGTAAATAATGTCAATCACGAGGTCATTATGTTGTATTTTTGCATGGCGAAATAAATCTAGAAATTGGTGGTTACCACTGTTGAGGAACTGTTGTTCTTCTTAGGCCACAGAGGAACCTTGCAAACATCATCTTCACCTCCTCGCTGTTTTTCTTCCACTTGCTAT